ACTTTCTGCAGATGGAGTCCAGGTTTTGGGGTCGGAAGTGGTCTTTGTCTAGGACTGAGCCATTGTTTTTGGCGTTTAATATTCGCATAGAGAATCCATTTTTCCATCACAGATGACGATTCTGTCAAAAATGGTTCACGCGCATTACGCGCCAGAAGAGACGAAGCATCGTTCACACATTGGAAACGATTACCATCAGAAAGCTCGTGAGGCACCCGAACACCTTCTTTAAGGAGTTTTCCCATATTCCTTAGATATTTACGTATTGTGTCATGAGAGACATGCAATTTCATGGCCATTTCACGAGTGTGTTGCCTTGGGTTAGACTCAACAAGCATCTTCAGAGCATCAATATCAATTCCAACATGCCGGCTCTTTCCATCACAGTTTTTAAGGCTAAAGTCACCTGAACGAAATTTGCTGAACCATCGTTGACACTTACGTACGTTCAAACCATTTCCATAAGCTTCTTTGATATTGTTTTGGCTACAGAGGCATTGTTTCCCCTTCTTGTATTCAAACAGCATTACATGCCGAATGTGCGTCTCGTCGTGTGCCATCACTACAAGGGATTAGAGTATACTACACTTTACACATTATATAGGCTACACTAACATGACGTTTAGGCAGTTCGTTTAACTATTATAAGCGGTTTACGTTTTTTTTTGGGGGGGGTATCAATGAAAGTGTTCAAAAACGCGACATTAATTTCTTGATGACCTAATAGTATAAATTATCTCACTATGCTTTCATCAAAATTCCTGCTAAATAAGCTTAACTATATGTATACATCAAGCCATGTATTATTCTCATAACAATAAAGGCTGGGTGTGTTTGGACTGCGAATCTGATAGTTCATTCTTTGCATCTCTTACATAACATACATTTTTAAATTATATTAAATAATTAAAAACAACGTTTTATATTTACACAATAAAAACTTTATTGAAGCCGTACAGCTTCCACTTTAAAATACGGCTTCAATAGTTTTATAGTGTAAATATAAAAAGTTTTTAATTATTTATTATAATTAAAAAATTTTAAACACAAGTGCCGGTAGTGCATATAACATACATTATTCAACATCACAAATATCACTTATTTAAATGTAAAACAATGTAAAAAACATTACCTTAAAATAGATATCTAATAATTGCATGACACTTTCTCATGAAATTAAAAACTTCTATTTTTCTTAAATTGGAAGTACCAGTTAAAAACAAAGTGAAAGGGTTAATTTTCAATTGCTAACTTACTTTCACAATTTAAAATGTTTGAACAGTGTTTAATCACTTGTACTAAGTGTAATGTTAGTCCTTTTGGATATAAAACTTGCAACACCTTAAATTTAAAAAAAAAGTTATAATTTTATTCATTTTTTTTTACGTGCATAAAACATACATTAAGTACTAGTGGTGTTTCTAATATTGTGAAATACATCATAAATACACGAGATTTGATTACTTACTTTAAAAAAACTGGTATACCTTAATTATGCTTTCCCATTAACCAAAATATTCACCCACATAAGAAATATCTAAAAGCAAATACTGAAATTCACAAATCACATCCACAGGTTTTAGCCACAAAATACAAAAGTTTCCTTCAAGGCAATGTATTAAAAGGCAGAATTGGGCAAGAAATTTGGAATAATCTGTACAAGAGGTCAAGAATTAGGTATAAGTTTTATGAAATAAGAATTTCTTTCTTTCATTAAACCAAAGGATCATTTGCAAATTATTTGCTACTTCTATATTGTTACCACACAAGGCACATTTGTAATTATTTCTATTGCAATCAATATATTTAGCATATAAAATCTTTGCTAGTGAAATTTATTCATGTTTCCAACATCATGTACCTTATTCAAAACCTTCAAAAGAGCTTTAAAAAAGAATACAAACAATCACCACTAACTAAAGACAAAAAGTAATAACTTTGTCAGAAAATTGAGGAAAATCAAAATTATTCTAACTCTGAAGCAAAGTGTTTTGCACAATTAATTTTAGTGAAAGATAAAAAAACTATAAAATAAGACTTGTAAACTTTAGTACTATATGAGAACACAAACACTTCACATTAAATAACATTTTGTACATACAAACATAAGCATATTATTTGTTCAGTTAAAATTCAAAATGTGAGCCAAATCTATATACAGTCACTGTTTTTAATTTTGGGATATGTTATTTCTGATTATTAAAAGCACTAACAAGGTTTAGTAATGTCACACTAGGGTATTTTAAATTGTACTTTTTAACAAGTCACTCACACACACACACCTAAAAAATATTAGCCCACAACCCTTTCTCAGTGTTTCCCAAAATAACAGATATCTGACAGACACATTACCAAAACATATCACAAATATGTACATCAAAAGTTATTACACTCAAGTTGTTCCACTTGGAATTCTGATTTGTCAGTAGTATGTTTCTGAAACTACATTTGCACAGCATAATTTACTGTGGTAAACACAACAATTCGAAACATAATACAAGAAGTGGGGAAAACAAAGACAATTGTACATTTCACAAATATTTCATTTATCAAAACTTTGGTTTCACTAGTAAAGGCATCATCAAATACTAATGAAACCATGCTTGTAATAAATTAAATATTTGTGAAATGTACAATTATGTTTATTTTCCTCAATACTGCAGTTATGGAGTTTCACATAGACTAACTGTTTCAAGTATTAATTAAACAAATAAACCTGATTGCTTGCATTAAGAAATTGATATGTTCATGAGCTTTGATATGGAATACAACTATAAAGCAGACCTACAAAGAAATAATGGCAATAGAATTTCTGTTGAATTTCAACAATACATCTAGACAGAATTCATACTTAATTTCACAACATTGATAAGTGTTAGTTTTCTCCTTAATGTCAGACACAGGTTTCCCACTGACAACGTATCTACATATAGGTTTTCTGGTGAATGTTAAAGTAATATAATACAGAGGTTCTCTGCGGATTTTTACAGTAAATCTAGATGTATGTTTTCTGTTGATTCTCAAAGTATATGGGTGCTACTGAATTTCACAGTACTGTTAAACGCATAAATACCATACTCAAAATATTCATCCTCTGTTTTTGTCCTTCTTATAATATTGCTTTAAGATTATTTAGATTTACTTTCTCATACTAATGAAACCACAATGTGGACAGTACAAGCCAATTCATCCTTCTTTTTCTTCTTAATCAGTCAGTCACCAGAAAACAAATGAATCATGCATATTAACTATTCTGTGAATATAAATATTCCACAAAATAATAATACATAGGAGCTCTTGGAGAACTAAACCAAGTCATGCCTTACACCATTTGCAATTTATAACAATTTCAACATGACATAAATAGCTTTTACAAACACTACAAAAACCTAATATTATGGTTTTTCTATTACTTTGCAAAACATTAGTTAAAAAAAGCCAGTCAGCCTGATTAACATAAAGAATAAATACCATGTTGCCCTTCAATAAAGAATAAATACCATGTTGCCCTTCAAGTGAGGTGTATTAAAGTTCATATTGGAGAGTAGAAATATTTCCTCTTATAAATCTGAAGCTAAATCTTAATGATTTCAAAATTAAAAACCTTTAGAGTCTCAGATGCTCTATTCTTTTTTGTGCTAACATTTGCTGTTTTACACTTTCCCTAAATGACACTCAGTTGAACAGCATTTAACTTTATCGTTATCACCTATTGCCACAAAGTTTTAACTGTTGAATAATTTTAATTAGTATTAGGTAACCCTCTAGATGGAAACAAATTAAAGTCAAATTTAGACACCTGGACTGTAATTACAAATGTGTATTTCACAAGAGTGGTAGCTAAGGTAAATATTGTACATGTACTTTACAAGGCCGAGTAAACAAATATTTGAAGACAATAATACTTAAGAACTTTTTGTTAACTAGTGATACATTGCATCTTAGAATATGTAAACACTAAAGCTTTTCTATCAAAAGTCCTAACAAAGCAGTAGATGTGCATCACAAAACCCTCTGGTGTCAATATATTTATATATACACACACACACGCAACTGTGCAGTTTCACATTCTTGCATTCTAAGTTATTTAAACATTAACAAAGTTATAAAGGTGCATAAAACAGTGCAGAACTGTAGTTCTAATGCTACTGATATGAATGTTTAATGATATGTCTGGTTCTTGGTTTACATTGTTTTCAATTATACACCTAACATCCACGCAGAGTTTAGACAAATATCATCTGAGACACCCTACTCTAATAAATCTTGTGACAGGAGTACTGTACTATATTGAGACTTAACTAAAATTAAAAAATAAGTGCCCTTCAAGGGAAGAGGGAAAAATTTTAGCAAGACATTATTATACATACACAAAGAATGTTCTCAGTAGTTCATCAAAGTTTGTAAATTACTGCTGAAGAAAAGAAAAAAGTTGAAGTACCATTTTGCCTGTCCATTCATTAATACATTTCAGGGTGTAAACTTTTCCTCTGATAACATTCTCTATACTAATCCATGGTTTATAGCAAAATAAAAGTACTTTCTGCAATTCCATGATCAATAAAAACCCTGATAAATCAGAAAGAATGTCTACCAAGTCAATATTTCAAACCAATCTATCATGTAGAAATTGAGAGTAAAACTCAGATATGAAAAATTCTCTCTTAAAGTTTCCTAATGTTTTCACATATTTTGTAGTAAGAGTAAAGTTTTATCTTTCAATAATTATTGCGAGAGTTATAAAAATAAAATTACCTAAAATGTGTGGTTCAAATTTGAAATACCAGCTTAGTTTTCTGAAACTCAAGTTTTATGAGCTGTATATATTATTCTGAAATAAATCAGTACATATTCTTATTGTATAGGATAAAGGAAAATTAAAAGTAAAATAAAATCATTAATTCATAAATAAGTAATCTTATAAGATACTATACCAATCACAGAAGTGTAATCATAACATATCTAGACAATTACTGAAACATTTTGCAATATATGCAGACAAATTAACAATAACAAAAGAAAACCAACTTATACTGGGGAGGAGTAAGTTGTACACTATATGAAAACATACCAACATATTAAAGTTATGATAACTCCCGAGATTCTAAATTCTCCATGAACAGTGACATAACTCTGAAAATTTAGTTTGTATATTATTCATGTATTATAAAGAAATTATTATCTTAACATCAAAATTATATAAATCTTTATATTAACTTTCAAAGCAAACTAAAAATGTAATAAATACAAAATCTACAATGTACAAATGATTTTTGTTTCAATGCAAACTTTCATACTTAAACAATCTAACACTTAACTGTTAACAGTATCAAAAACATTTAAGTTTACATCTTAAAAGAAAACACCACATGCATCATAGAAACATAACATCTCAAAAAAAATATGAGGTATGAGGGAGGGGACACTATTTTAGTAGAAATCAATAGGAGCTTTCCTAATTTTTTAGCAATGGACTTTATTAATTATAGCCACAAATGACCAACAATTTTTTTTTTTCATTTTACAAAGTAAAGGAAACAACTTATAATTTGATGACAATGAACAAAAATCCTAATATATATACCATTTATATATATTTAGTGCTACAAAAGCACTATTATTTTGCCTCATATACCTGTAAAACGAGTTTCTGGAAGTATGGAAACTTTACAGCATTTGTAATATCAGAAAGAAACTTACTACTATGCACTATGTTCATTTATTAAACCTGCACAATGATGAATTTCTTTCTATAAACTTTTCAGCTAATTCTACTACAAAACAAAAAGAATAAGAGAGAAAAAAAAAAGAAAACAGCCAATCTTTATGATAACATTGTTCACTGTGTGTTGCCTTTGATATTATGATGAGATTCTTCAGGAAAAGTCCTTCTTTAAAAGACAGCCTCACAAGAAGCAGAAAGCAATACTTGTGTAAGTGATCAAAGAAGTTGTGTTGAAACAAATACAAGAACAGCAGAGATGGTGACAATCAAGAAGCTTCCTTTCTCACAAATGCCAGCTAGCTGTAATGAGAAAATTGAACAAATCACACACACAAACAAAAGAATTGAAATATGGTATGAATTGTTATTATATAAAAGTTTCAGCCAGTTAGCTGGTCACCTTCAGGTGCATTTTAGCATGTATTTTTATTAAACTCACATTTTAGTCATTTGGCATAATAATAATTTTTGACAATGGGATTTTTCATTCTTGGAGCATTCCGATATGTGCCTATGGCATTAAGCAACACTCAAATAAAAAAAGGAAAATTATATGAATGAAATCCCCTCCCCCAACTCCATATAACATGTTAGAACTTATATCCTGTCTATGGTGTACAAGTTACAACTAATAATTTCAACTGCACTTACTAAATGTCAATAAGTTGTTGTTTTTTGTACTATAACAACACAATATCCCAGGCTTTTCGATGGTTTCAATCATTTTAGTAAAATGTGTAAAGCTACTCCAGGGCTATCTGAACTAGATGTCCCTCATTCAGAAGTGACAGACCAGACAGAAGACAGCTAGTCAACACCACCCATCACCAACCCTTAGGCTATTCCAATTGAATAGTGGGATTGACCATCAATTATAACACCCCGACGACTCTAAGGGTGAGCATGTCTGGTAATGGGATTTGAAACCATGACTTACAGATTGTGAATTGAACACCCTAGACACCTGGCAAAAAATTTCTAAGTTAAGAAGTGGTAAATAAGCAGTTTAAGTGTAAAGAGTATCATTATAATGTGTTTTAAGCTAATAGATTATTTTTGATTAACTTCTTCATATTTTAATCACATCTTACAATAAAGTTAAAGTTAAAAGCTTAATTTCAAACAACTTTCTGTTAAGTAGTGCTAGCTAACTCAGACTATGACAGCCATCTTTATCACAATTTTCTTTCTTACCAAGTAGTTTTGCTTTCGTAAACCTGGTAATGAATGGATGTTTCTAAAACTTGTGTAAAAGTTGTGGTTAGTAGTCACACTTAAGTGGAGAGGCCCTTTTATGCCACTTTCCATTTCACAGTAGTTAACAACTTGGATAGGACTTCTGGTAGAAGATCAAGGGTACTTGTTAAAATTTCATTATGTCTGCAGACAATAACATTTTTTTTTTTTACAATTAGCAAAACTTGGTTTTTGATATTTTAAAAAGGGAATTTATTTTACCCATCCTCATGCCTCAAATCAAAAAAATGCAGCCTGGCTAACCAATGAATGAATATTTGCTGTAAAGTTCTTATCAATAATACAAATGTACCTACCAGTTTGCCAGCCAATTTTGATTTCATTCCTTTAAGTTGCATGCTAACTTTTTTTTTTACCACACCTTTTTTATTCACACCTAGTGTTTTTGATTACATTATGTATTAACTCTGATGTATGATGTACGACATAGGAATGGAACAAAACTTGGTAGCATTGATATATATACTTGAAAGAGATTCAAGTGCAGTAAGAGTAAACACAGCAGCATACATTAGGCTGAATATTCTTTGAGAAACCTTTGGCTATAGGAAAGTAAAGAACGACTATCACCCTGGTTTACTCAAAACACATCACTAACAGTAATACTTTAGGGTTCATAAATAAAATCATGAGTAGACTTAGACATTTTTGAGAGAAACCTAGACCAACAAATTATATTGTAACAGATCCTACATAAATGTCAATGTTAGGCTTGTTTTAGTTGAAAAACTAAATTTGAATGCTTAGTTATTTTCAGTCATTCTGCTCATATTATGGTATTTATTAAACACAAGTGTCTTAGAAAGTTCTTGATGGTTAATTAAAGCAATTCTAATGAAGACATCTCCTAAAATACTTGTAGCTTGATACTTACGGTTACATAATAATTACAACGGTCACCGTGACAGCACTCTGCACACTCCCAGTCATTATACCATATTTTGTCACAGCGTTTGCTGATATTTCTGTCAAATTCCTCACATATATCTCCTGTAGCACATCTTTTGGTGATATAGAACTGTTTCTCTCCAGATGGTGCCCAGTAAGGAGTACCTAAAATTGTTGTATTTGAATGAATATTTGCATCAATCATGTAACAGAAGGTTACTTCAGTGATTACTATAATATACACCAATAATCCCATTTATGGGAAATTTTAAGTGAACATATTAAAAGTTATATTTTACATTTTGAACAAGACATATTTGTTGAAAATTTTATTGTAAACATTTAAATTATTTATCAAGATTTTGCACATTGAGCAAATGTAAGTTATTTTTTGAAGATATTATCAGGAAAGATGAAACCATTTTCTTCAATAATATATCTGAACAAGGTTTCTGAGTACAATAATGTACCTGAATAAGATTTCTAGGCAGTTAATTGATATAATCAATTACTTATGAGCAGCGATTACATTAACATCACATGATATTTTGGAACAACATGGGAACTATTGGTCCATCTTGGCTGTTCCATCCTCAAAAACTAAATTAAAATGATTAAAAAAAATAAAATAAACACATTTTAAACCCAGCCCTTTTCATTCATATACTTATCAAGTTTTTCTTAAACTCACTTAAATTTACTGCCTCTACAACATCTGAAGGCAACCCATTCTAAAGGCTAACCATCTTGTTAGGCAACTAAAATTGTCTTAGGTTTTCAGTAACCAGAAATTGCTATCACATTTGTTTGGCAACTGTCTGGTTACACCCACTGCCAACCTTTTTTTTTTTTCTTGTATGTGCCAATCCTGTACTAATCAATTAATGGCAGTCAATTAATTGATTAGCAAATTATCACTAATTGCCCAATTCTAGTTTCTGGGTACAATAATATATCTGAACAAGGTTTCCAAGCACAATGATATACCTGAACAGTTTCCATATTTACAATTGGATAGTGACAAAGATCTTTTACTGAATAGGTCTACATACTATATTCAGGTTCAAGAGTAATTGTATGTCATAGGAAAAAGGTTATTGCTTTTTCATTGCATGCACCATCTATGATGTTTGTTAAATGTAGAGAAAAAGATGAATTTATATGAAGGAACATATTTTGACTAAATTTGACTCTTTATCATAAACACTGAAGACCATACATTTCCACAAAATGTATTTGTTAAATACATACTAAATCAGTCTCACAGTGACAAGTAGCACTTTAACTTCTACAAAGTAATTTTATGTGATCATAGCCTTTGAAAAAAATGTGGTAATATAACTTAATCATATTTGTGTAAAATCATACGTATGTGTGATTTTGACCTTGAAGAAATATCCAATATGTGCATTATTACATATCATTAAATGCAGGTTTTAAAATAACAGTAACACACAGTACATTGAAGATGCATCATTACTGACAAACAACAAAGCCCTGTAATGCTTATTTCATTAATGTTTATATGTACTGTTGTAATATACACAAAATTTTGCTAGCATGACTTGTACTTTTATAATATACATAAATTTTACTTAACACTGAATTTCAAGCAAGGCCCAAAGATAGTAAGTTTTACCACAACAGTATACAATATAAACAGGTTAATTTTCCTTGTGACTGATATGTTACCACAGATTAATACACAGTATTAATTCTTAGGATTGTTCACTTTCCAAGAAGGTTGTGTTAAGCACTACATAAAAGTAAGTTTGAAACCAAATCATTTCTTGTGTGTGTGTGTGTGTTGAGGAGTAGTTTGATGCTACCCTATTTACAATTGAGGCAATAGATAAAAAAGAAGAGTAAATTGTGAGAAACAGCTGCAAAATTTCAAGAGGAATTTAAGATTTTATGTGCAAAGCATATAGCAAGTAAAAATAACTTTTCAGGAAGTTACAAACAGTACCAACAGGCTAGAAGTAATGGCAGGTTCTATTAAGTAACATATTGCAGTCTTTAGCTTGGCAGATCTGTGGAGTAAATAGGAAGAAAAGAATTACATTATACCATCCAAGAGCAGGGGTGGAGGATACAAGTGATGGAGCAAGTGATGTAGTGAAGGGTGCTGGCAGTGAAGCAGTTTTTATAGTGCACATAAGGGAGGGTAGGTCAGAAAATATAATTGATAAGTAGAAGGGATTGAAAAAGCCATTTAAAGAAAAGGCTACTAACTCAACAGTACAGGTAGCTTTAAAAGTACAATAGACTGTGGTGAGGGCCAGGATAAACTCAATGAAGAAAAAATAAGATGTAGAGAAAAGTATAGTGTAGGACCAGAGTACAGAAGTAGTTTTAAGAGTAGGCTAAACTGTTATCATTGTAATAATTGAAATACAAGATTTTAGAGCACTAGTTAGAACAGAGGATTTGGATGTGATGGGAATAAACTGAAACTTGGTTGAATGTAGACAATTTTAATATCAAAAATTTGAAATACAGGGTCTTAGGTTCTGTTAGCAGATATAAGAGAAGAAACCTTTTATTTAGATAGAATTTGTTACAGATCACCAGATGAAACTGAGAAACTATTGTGAGAAAAAGAATTCAACAGTTAACGAGGTCATAATTGTGGGAAGGATTTTGATTTGAGGTATATGAATTGAGAAATGCTTGTCAACCCAAGATTTTAGAAACTACGGAGAATGGTTTTCTTCACCAATTGGTCAGGGAAACTACTAAGAACAATGCTATTTTAGATTTATTGTTAGCTTCTACTATAGAAATGACTGACAAGGTGGAGATTGGAGAACAACTGGTTGCAAGTTCTCATTACTCAATCAGGTTTGATGTTTTGCTGCATATGAAGATAAGGGATAGTGAGATTTTGGTCAAAAATTAAAAAAAAAACATTCTTGATGGATGTCACAAGCATTATCTGTTTTGAATTGTGCAATTGAATTAACTGGAGATACTGATGAAATATGGAAAAAAGTTATGATACATTTTTAAATATTGAAGACAGACATGATCCCTATGAAAAGGAAAAAAAGGTTGGCTGAAAAGTGGTACAAAAAATGAAATTAAAGAAAGGCATTATAAATTTAAGAAGTTTAAATTGACTGCTACAGCAGGAGATTTAAGGAATTACAGAAGATCAAGAGAGTCAAATAGGAAATCAAAAAGTTATGTAAAAAGATTGGCTGTAAATATGAAAATTAACATTAAGGATTTTTTAAATATATTAATGGTAAGTAAAGCAAAAGATTGGGAGTAGAGCCTTTGAGGGATGATACAGGAAAGCTTGTATCTGATGATTGAGTTGACTGGGTTATTAAAATCTACTTTTTCTTTGATTTTTATTAATGCAGATGCAAGTAATATTCCTCATCCTGAACAACTGATAAATGAAAACAAGATCAAACAGTGCAATCAATAACATTTTCCTAAATTGAAAATGTATTTCCAATAATACTTACCTCTGCATGTCATATAGCTATTTCTCTATCTCCAGGGTTTCCACTCTTTCCCCATCTAAGCATGGAAAATGCTTGCTTCAGTCTTTTATACCCCACTCAAATGCCCTTAGCAAATTCCAATTTGTAAAATTCTCCACCAACTTCAATGCAACTCTAACTAGATACTGTATACAAACACCTCATTCAGATAATGTAATCATTTTTTCGAAACATAAACCGGCTTTTAGTGGGGAGGTAGGACAGGAGAGTGTCAGTGGTCATAAGGATTATTAGAAATATATTTTCAGTTGAGGAAAATGGTAACTTCCAAAACATACTTACCTCCACTGACACTATAGCTAGAATCCCACATTAAGAAGGTGGAGGGGTCAGTGCAGGTATGAAAAATACAGAAAGCATCTGTATAGAACAGGAGTGTACCAGGATAAAGATGGTACAAGAGTGAGGGAACTGCACTACATCCAGAACAGGTATGCTCTTCACCTGGAACTCAGTTTTTATACCAACAGTGGAATAGAATATGATTAATCGTCAGTATAGGCTAACCCAAACAGATATCCAAGGTTCCAAAACTCTGGGTTGGAATTAAGAGGTAGTGGTATCTATATCCCACATTGATGGCATGGGTTATTGATCTGCAATGTTTTTTTGTTTTGTTTTTTATTGGATCCCAGTCTGTAGCCATAGAGTGATGCATTTCAAACCATCTGAATAATGACGAGAAAATAAGCAACATCGAAGTGGACAAACTTTTTCCTCCACCTGAAGAAGTCCAAAAGGCAACACCCCAGGCTCGGAATGATGGGACTTTGTATGCTGTACTCAACCAAAGGAACAGAATTCATTCAGTATAGAATTATGAGCATTCATTCTCACTCCCCAGCCAAGTGGGCAAGGAGTATTCTGTTTGTCACTGGAATTATGAAGAGGATGTGGAACCTGTACTCAATCAAGGACCTAGGATGGGACCACTTCGCGTTTGGAATTATGATGAGATAGTGGATCTCCTTTCATGCACAATATACAAAATCAACATTGATCAAAGAGAAGGACCATGCACCCCCCAACTGGATAGCTTTGTGTCAAATCTAAAACGGAACTACGAGTCGGCTCCGGGGGAGGCTGGTGTCACTCCTACTGATATCTGTGAAAAACATCCAGGGACCTGAGAAGGAGGACTCCCAATTTCACCCTCTTCTCCAAGAGCAGAGGAACACACTTGAACATTCTGGGGGAAGACCACCTGTTGACCACCCCAGTGACTGGAAACTGGGTGTGGTAAGGACTCCCTAGCTTCACTAGTAGAGTCTGAGGGACAATACACATTGGGGGAGTCCTGAGGAACAGTGTTTTGGAAACTGTGCAATAGGTGAACCAAATTCCCTACATTTTTAAAAACAAACTGAACCTGATTTATTCAACCTGAAAATTGGCAAGGATGGGCAGGATCCCCTTTAGCTTTAATCATGATAGTCCACGAGTGGAAGTCCATAATAATAAGGTAATACCATCCAGTAGGTGCTTAGACGGTCTTATGGAACATCCCATTTAGACAGAGCCTGTTGCAACCTGTAGTAATTATAGTGAAAGTGGTTGCTAGTACAGAATTTAAAAGAGAACATCCACCTGCCTGGGCAAGACTTGCCACATAGTGGGAATCAGTGAAAAATAAAGGGACCCTGGAAA